TACTCCACTCTGCTCCAGTGATACTCCACTCTGCTCCAGTGATACTCCACCGTACTCCAAGCGTACTCCACTCTACTCCAGTGATACCCCACTCTACTACAATGATACTCCACTCTACTCCAAGCGTACTCCGCTGTACTCCAAAATTTACTTTGGAGTAGATGGAGTATCGCCTTTTCCCCCTTGCGTTCTTTTGTTTGACAATTGAAGCTAAGTTGACAACGTTTTCGAGCTGTACTTGATGCATCAGTTGTATTGGAGCATAATAAATTAAACACAGTTCGAAGTTGTCGTTTTAAAAACAATTCAGCTGAACTTGCACTAGTTAGTGAATGATGAGTTTTTCTGTAACAAAATAAATATTTAGAAAGAACATTAGAAATTTGTCCGCCATTATAGAGTCCTTTTTTGTGTACTCAAAAAGTGAGTACACACTAGAATCGGTCAGTGTGTCCGGCCGGCAAGCCGGCCGTTTACACGATAACTTTTGAAAGGAGAGTCCGATCGCGCTGAGATTTTCTACACAGTTTAGTCTCAACAATATCACGGTCGAGTTCGAAGATGAGAATGATTGGCCGAGTCCCTCCTGAGTTATTGCAAAAATAGTCATTATCCCCTATGCTTTCCTATGTGAAGATCGATCAATCCCCGCTTTTGTAAAAAAACTTTTCCTATCATAGTCAAATAAAACCCCAACTATTGTATGCCATTCGATAAAGAATTTCACGAGCCACAAAATGGTATATAAAACATAAAGAAACAAGAAGACTAACTCACCTATTACAACGATCATTCAACGAAAATTGGCTCTATTTTTGTCCACGCTCCAATCGATCCACAATTAGAGTTCTATCTTCCGATCATGAAGAAGATACTTCGAGGTTTTCTGGGGCTGAGAACTCGAATCTGTACTCCATTTGCCTCGAAATCCCATTGGTTGAGCAGTAACCAGTAGAAATCAAGTTATAGGAAAAACGACTTTCTTAGGGTCGTACTTGGAACCGGGCCGGCTGGTCCGATCCGGTCGAGCTTTTAAGATCGACCAAAACCGACGTAGACCGGTTTCACCGTTTTTGTGTACTCAAAAAGTGAGTACACTCTAGAATCGGTCAGTGTGTCCGGCCGTCCGGCCGTTTACACGATAACTTTTGAAAGGAGAGTCAGATCGCGATGAAATTTTCTACACAGTTCAGTCTTAACAATATCTCGGCCGAGTTCAAAGATGAGAAGGATTGGCCGAGCCCTTCCTGAGTTATTGCAAAAATACTCATTTTTCCCTATACCTTCCCTATGGAAAGATCGACCCATTCCCTCTTTCGTAAACAACTTTTCCTATCATAGTCAACTAAAATTCCAATTATTATATACCATTCGATAGAGAATTTCAAGAGCTACAAAATGGTATATAAAACATAAAGAAACAAGAAGGTTGACTCACCTATCACAAGGATAATTAAGGAGAACTAGGTTATGTTTTTGTCCACGATCTAATTGATCCACGTTTAGAGCTCTATCTTCCGATCACAGTGATGATGCTTCGAGGTTTTCTGGGGTGGAGAACTCGAATCTGTACTCCACTTCCATCGAAATACTATTGGCTGAGCAGTGACCAATAGAAATCAAGTTATAGGAAAAACGACTTTCTTAGGATAAATCAAGGGGAAGAGTTCAAATTTGAGCTGTATTCGGTCCCAAGTCCTATTGGTTTGGCAATACTCAATAGGAATCAACAGTTTAGAGGGTAGGTTCCCCAGTATAATTTTGATGTCCACACGTTCTAGAACGACTCATCTGTCTCATTCACTTTTTGAAGTAGACATAACTCTCGGATTTAAATCCGAAGTTTCCGCATTTATTTTTTGTCAAATTTTAGGGCACGAAAACTAAATTAATGTATTTTGCTCGTTTTTATTGATTTTCATGACTTCAAAAATCAACAGATATGAGTGTAAACGTTTTCCACTGATAAATTTATAGTTGTCATTAACCCTTTGAGGACCGGTGGCTCATTTTTGGACCACCTATTTTTTCAGTATAGAAAAAAGTGTTTATTTCACATTGAACCATTAAATATGTAAGGTCATTATGGTCATAAACAAATACATTTGTCATCTCGTATTTTTCTTTTCTTTTTTTCCTTCTTTCATATAACTTTTTTTAAAAATGTCCTTTATTCTTGCTGCTAAGCTACAATGACATCATAAATTCTGTCTTCTCCTTTGATCTTTTGTTTTTCGAGAATATTTTCATTCTATATTGGGTATATATACTCCCGTTCTCATCGACGAATTTACATTGTTCTTGAATTTGCAAAGTATGTCATTTCTCTTTCGAACTTGTACTCTTTATTTCATTTCATACCGTTTTACAATTAATTTTGACAATGAAATGCATTTGCCTATGAAAGGAAAAAGAAGAGGTTGTGTTTATTTTAGCACCGAGGAAGCAGATTTGCGATCGAACATCGAGTGCTTTTCTTGGAAATTGCCATTTTGTTTAAAAGATGAAAAAATGATTGTTTTTTTTTATTATTATAACATTTTTATGTAGCCATTTTTAGTTAAAATAAAATAAAAAGGTTGAAAAATGTTTTTTTTTGATTAAAAAATTCGGTCCTCAAAGGGTTAAACTTCCAGCTCTAAATTTTGTACTCTGGTTTTCTCGTCGTATGGTGAGAGTCTCGAATTACGCTGAATGGATTTATTATGATCATGAAAAGTTAACAATTCATCAGAGGCTAAATATAGTTTGAACTAAAGATTTCACTGCTCGAGATTTCGAGGTTACTTTTCTAGACTTTGTTACTGACTCTCAGAAACTCCCAATGGCTAGTTATTGTTACTTCATGCTTTCATTATTTGAATATTAAAAAAGATCTTCTGTTGTTGTAAATGTTATATCAACTACTAGTCTTTTGCAACTGTGAAAATCCGCAGACATTAAAAAAGCTAAAATATGACATCTAGCATAAAAAGCGACCTTTTTAGCTTATTTTGACTTCATAGTTTTTTGTCGACTGAATTCTGTAACTGGACCGACCGGTTTTTTGCCGATTCGGTCAAGAATTTCAACCGGCCGGTCCGGTCCAGTTTGAAAAAATCAGAACGATTCCAAGTCTGCTTAAGGTAAATCAAGGTGAAGAGTTCAAATCTGAGCTGTATTCATCCACTAATCCCATTGGTTGAGCAGTATCCAATAGAAATCAAGTGTTTTATAGAAAAGGTTTGCCAGGATAATTTTGATGTCCACACATTCTAGTATGACTCATCTGTCTCATTCACTTTTTGGAGTACACATAACTCTCGGATTTAAATCCGAGGTTTCCACATTTATTTAGGAGCAGATTTTGTAATATCAACATTATGTTCAGCTTTGCTGCTTGATTGAGAATGTTTTGATGTTGTTCGAATATATCGAATTCCAGAAGAATTAATATTAGAACTTGTATTATTAGAAACAGTATAATTTAATGTTGTTTCACTTAAACGTAAGGCATTAATCCAATTACGACCAATAATACTATTTCGATTTCTATCATCAACTAAAATTTTTAACCGAGTACTTTCTATGGGAGAGAAGTTACCGTTACATTACCGGATAATTAGTAACGAACATTGGAAAATGTGCGGACTTGACATTTTACGTGAAAATATTGAAGTCCTAAAATATTCCGTTACCAGTTACTTGGTAACGTAACTGTCTAGTAACGGTAACTTCCCTCTTCCAGCACTTTCACCATTGTAAACCACCTTGACTATTTTCTCTCCCTTCAGATGGATAGAATGACATGAGAAGCTGCTATAAACAAATTTAACAGGCTTTAAATTTGGCTTTTCCATAGTGTTTTGCGTGGCTGATATTTTTGGTCACAATCACGATCACGATCACGATGACAAAAAAAGTTCCTAATTGTTAGGGGCTGGGTTTTAAATCCACTTTCTTTTATTCTATATCAAATCAAATGCTCTCACACATCATATATCACACACACACAACGACTAAGCTACATAACGAACCAAATAGGACAGAAAGAAATGCGCATATATATATGAATGAACTAGATCCAGGGTAGAAAACGTGAGAGAAAAATAGAATAGAGAAAAATTACCTGAAACGTATCACATGAAAGAAATAACTAACAAGAATAAAGAGAACGAAAAAGAAAATACATAATACTGCCAGGGTTAGCCGCTAACACTAATCACGCACGATCACGATCACGATCACGATGGCAAAAAAAAGTTTCTAATCAAGCACGATCACGATCACGATGACGGCTTAGATTTGTATATAGAAATTAAAAATATTAGAAAGTCTTTTATTATTTGATAGTGCCATCTATACACTGTTGTTGATTGGATCCCGTATTAAGTAATTGAAATCATCGATGAGAGTTGCTTTATTTCTTTATTTCTAATCTTAACAATTCTTAAAAATATGAAAATCTTAATTAATATTTATTTTCAGAATGTCTACGAATAATAATCAATTGGACAAAAAAAATATTGAACGACTTGTATCACAAAATAGCACATCAATATCCTATATAAAACCAAATGAATCGAGTAAAATTGAATTTTCCAAGTACTGGAACAGTTTTAGTCAAATATATATTTCTAATGTTAAACAAGACTTTATTGTTTGTGATCATTGTAAAACAATATTAGTTTACAAGTCATCAACAGGTTCTGGTTGTATGATTAATCATTTACGTTTTTGTCAATCCAAACTTAAACAAGCTAATTCATCAGGTGAACAACAAACAATCAACAATTATTACAAGTCAACTTTCAGTGATAAAAAACAAATACCAAAAGATATTAAACGTGCTATTACAACGTCTTGTGTTCAATTTGTTGCCGAAGATGGTCGAGCATTCCACTTACTTCAAGGACCTGGTTTTGTTCGTTTAGCAAAACAATTATTTGATAGTGGTCAGCGTTTACCATCATCAACAAATATTAGTATTGAAGATTTATTACCAACTCCTTCTACTGTAAGTAACTTTTATTGTATGCGCTGAGATAAATACTTAACTAATATCTATTTATATTAGAAAAGTCGAAATATTGATAAAATGTATGATTATTACAGGGAACAATTAATAAAATTTTGTAAATCAATGGATAGTTATTGTGCAATTGTGGATTTTTGGTGTGAACCGTTTACAGGTAGGGTAGGCCTTTTAGGCTGCCAAAAAACTCTCTTTTTTCTGCTTTTTATTATGAAGGTTTATCATATTGTGGTAGTTCACTTACTACGGAACATTCCCAGGTGAAGGAGCGCTTTTCAGCCAGGGTTTTGCGCATCTTTTAGCTCATAGTGAGCTATGCCTATGGTAAAAAAAGTTCGGGTTTCTGGCTTGATTCTGAGTAAATACCGAGCTCCTAGTGAATTTTCTCTATAGTATGCCTACATTGTTAGCAAAGCTATACTTACGAATTTTGACCTGAAACTTTGCTTGCATAAAGGCCTCAGCTAGACTAGTTTGCATAACAAATTTCAGAAGTTTTGAACAAATTCTCTCTAAGGTATGAAACTATCAAAGTATAGTCTCTTTTTCATAATAATATATATACTATGCATTTTTTTCAAAGCTTCGTATCTTAGAGAGACTTTGTTCAAAACTTCTGAAATTTGTTATGCAAACTAGTCTAGCTGAGGCCTTTATGCAAGCAAAGTTTCAGGTCAAAATTCGTAAGTATAGCTTTGCTAACAATGTAGACATACTATAGAGAAAATTCACTAGGAGCTCGGTATCTCCTCAGAATCAAGCCAGAAACCCAAACTTTTTTTACCATAGGTATAGCTCACTATGAGCTAAAAGATGCGCAAAACCCCGGCTGAAAAGCGCTCCTTCACCTGGGAATGTTCCCTAGTTAGTCATATTGATTCAAAGTTTCAATCATATATGTTTTCAATAGGCTGTTTTCCATATGAAATGGAAAATAAACGTGCACCAACTATTCGTACATTTATTGATGATATATTAAAAAATTTTGGTTTAGTATTGGACCAGGAAAAGTTCGTCGTGATCGACAATGAACCAACGATGTTATGCACTTTCAATACAAGTTGTAAAAGAATAGGCTGTAGTGATCACTACATCAACAAACAGCATCAATATACATTTACAACAAAAACAATTGATGAAAAATCTGTTAGTTGTGATTTAGCTCAAGGACTTTTCAATAATGTTAAAACTCTTGTTTCAAATACTCGTCGAATACACAAGCAGCAAAATCTATCGAAACAGTTGGTTTTGTATGCAGATACACGTTTTAGTGGTGCTTTTGAAATGCTCAATGTATTTTCAAGCATTTTTGATGAATCAGTTCAAATCCTCGATTCTAAATTATCAGCAATTTATTCTAATATTGATAAGGATCTTTTAGTTGATATATGTCATTTTTTATTTCCATTCGATACAGTACTTCGAGCATTAAGTGATGATAAACGACCGACAATTCATCGTGAATTACCATTCAAACAATATTTGATCAACAAATCTGTAATTGATGAAAATGATGATGAAGCTATAAAACAAGTGAAATCATTCTTGGGTATGAAATATAAAAATTAATTAACGTAATCTTTTAGTATTTTATTACTTTTTACTACTTAGGTAAACGTTTAAATGAAAAATGGGAAATAACTGATCAACATCTTATTGCTGCAGTACTTCATCCGAACAATAAACATTTACATAAAACTCCTCAATTCAAAGATCGTGCATTGTTTTTATTAAAACAAGAAATGTGTAAACATTATGATCGTTCTTTATCTACAAGTTCATCACCTGTTGCAGTTTCACCAATAACATCATCAACCAGTTCAATTTCATGTTCACCATCAACCAGTTCAATTTCATGTTCACCATCAATCAGTTCAATTTTGTGTTCATCATCAACGTTGTCCTCATCTTTAACATCAATTACAAAATCTGTTCGTCTAGATGCACGTGATATTTTATTACGAGAAGCCTTTGACAAACCACCTTCACCTTCAGTAACAGATATGAATGATATTGATAAAGAATTCGAAAATTATTTAGCATCTACGTTGGTGATGGAAGGTGATGAAAATGATGATATACTTTCATTTTGGAGACAGCATAAACAAACATTTCCATTAATTGCTTCAATTGCTCGTGATATATTAGC